ATTTGGAATTCCCTATCCTCTAGAAGCTTCTCCTGTCACATGTATGGATGGTGTCCGGAAAGCTCTGAGGATGGGACACACCTTTTCAGATATTCCAGAAGGGCAAAATATTGTCACTATTGGCCATGTATTGCAATAGTAAAAGCAAATGTAATTAGCCATGGTAATTGTGAAACACAAGTCATGCCTCTATTTATTCTGTGATAGTAAACAGATTCAAAACTTCAGCACTTTGGGAGGCCAAAGGAGGAGGATTGCTTGAGGCCAGGAGGTTGAGACCAGCCTGGGCAACATGAGATCCCATCTCTATAAAAAATAAAAAAATTAGCCAGGTGTGGTGGCATGTGCCTATAGTTCCAGCTATTTGGGAGGCTGAGGTTGGAGGGTCCCTGAGTCTGGGAAGTCAAGGCTCCAGTGAGCCGTGATTGCACCACTGCACTCCAGCCAGAGCAACAGACTGAGACCTTGTCTCTAAAAAAACAAAAAATCCAATTTGCATCAACATAGCACAGAAAACGCACTACAATTGAATTCAAGAAATCTATGCCCTGCTCTCTCCCCATGCTTTTTGTCGTGCTATGCCTTTGCTCGTTCAGGGTAAAGGAAAATCTACAGGTTCTTGATTGTGGAAACCTGTAAGTAAGCAGCCTCTAGGATCCATGCAGAAAGCTACTTTTCGTTTCCAAATAGGCCGCACTTAGTGCCCTGGCTAAGACTAAAATGTGGGCAACAAATTAATTCCAAGTACCAAACTAAGATTACTATGGGATGGGGAGTATTTTCAGAGACAGAATGTCTCCCACCTCTTCCATTAGTGAATTCAGTCTATTCTGTGGTCGTGTTCATGAACATTTCGGTGTGGGAGCTGGGTGAGGAAGGGCGGCCACTCAGCCTTCCCTGAGAAAACAGCACAGAGAGGTTACCTAATTCCACTGTGGGAGTTTTATCTGCCTCCTGGATGGTTCAGTGTAGGTCCATGTCTAGACTGATTACAAAAGCACCAACAATAAAGTCAATACCTAACATCTTACAGAAAAGGCATGAAACCGAATAGTACGGGTGAGGAGAACAATGCCTCTGTTGTGACAGGAAGTCTTCGTGAGGATGATGGAATTCCCACACCCCAGGTTCTAATTTGTAAGGGCAACATTAAACGTCTCGAAGCAGGCCCTGGCTTGAACACATTAATTTGGAAGGCAATGTGTTTGGTTAGATAAGGGAATTTTTTTTTTTTTTTTTTTTTTTTTTTTTTTTTTTTTTTTTTTGGTACACTGCCACCAGAATCAAAATGAAGATCAGTATAACTCTGTCTGCATGGGCACAGATTTCAGAAAACAGCTTTTACTCTAATTCACCAATACAACCATTTGTTAATTCTGCTTCTTCCATGTGACCAGGTATGTGCAATGTGATTGAAAAGGCTCTGGTTGGCTCAGTCCTGACTTGCACTCACTGTGCTATGACTTTAAGCAAGTCTCTTAACCTCTCTGAGCCTCAATTTCTACATGTGTAAAATGAGGGGGTGGAGGTTGCTAATCTATTGTTGTGAGTTCAAGACTCTACCAAAGCAAAATAAATGTAACAATCCCATTGCCTAATGGTGCTGACAACCGGAGACTTTTACCCAAAAAGAAAGCTGTGATATCATATCCAAAGTAGCTTTTAAATATGTCATTCCAAACTGAAGCTGCAATTGAGTGATGGCTTGCTCTAGAACTCTAGGTCGAATCACCTCCCGAACTCTAAGGTCGGTGTATAACTAGGTGCAAGTATGTTACGTAATTGAAGGTCCATTTGTTTAGCCAGTAGTTTCAGGTGGCCTGAGGTAGAACGTTTGAATGCTTGCATGTTCATTCCCTCAATGTTCATCCCCTCAAATATCTATTGAACACCTACTATGTACCAGGCTCTGCAGACAAGACGTTTCTCCTGGAATCCTATGCCTTCTCCTCCCTCCCCACTCCTGACTTTCCCCCTTTCCCTTTCTTCTTTGCTTTTGGTTTTCTTTGTGACCTCAGATGCAAAGGATTTCGTGAAAGGTACTTCTTGGTTCATGGTGTGGTATCACAGTTGGTCCACATAAGGCTTGGTTTGTTTCATTCATTCATTTATTCCATTTTATTCCCAAAGCCCACTGCCATTTCCCTCCCTGCAAAGGTACCCATTCTAATGCTGTAAATATATACCTTTTAGTATGCCTGTAGTTTTGTAAAATATACATTGTCTTCTGTGAGCACACACACACACACACACACACACACACACACACACACACATATGTATTTTTTAGACAGTCTCAGTCTGATACCCAGGCTGGAGTACAGTGATGCAATCTCAGCTCACTGCAACCTCTGCTTCCCGGGTTCAAGTGCTTCTCCTGCCTCAGCCTCCTGAGTAGCTGGGACTGCAGGTGCCCACCACTACACCCAGCTAATTTTTATACTTTTAGTAGAGACAGGATTTCACTACGTTGGCCAGGCTGGTCTCCAACTCCTGACCTCAAGTGATCTACCTGCTTCAGCCTCCCAAAGTGGTGGGATTACAGGCGTGAGCCATGGCGCCTGGCCTGTGCTTATATTTTAATTAATTCAAATGGTGAGATGATATATAGCCTATGCAGTTTCTTGCTTTTTTTTTTTTTTTCTTTTGTACCCATACTAGGGTTTTAAGATCCATCCATGCTGCTGGGGGTACATATGGTCCATTGCTTTTCACTGCTGCATAATACTCCATGGTGTGCATTTTCACGCTGTACCTCTCCCGTCTCCCCTGGTGTCCTGCAGTTTTTCACCATGGCAAGTATTCCAGCAGTAACCTGCCTTGTGTGTGGCCCACTATGGACCTGTGTCATATTGTTCTACCTAAAAAACTCTTCTCCCTTTGTCTTTGTTTGTTTTTTGAGACAGAGTCTCACTCTGTTGCCCAGCCTGAAGTGCAGTGGCACAATCTGGGCTCACTGCAACCTCCACTTTCTGGGTTCAAACAATTCTCCTGCCTCAGCCTCCCAAGTAGCTGGTATTACAGGTGTGCACCACCATGCCCAGCTAATTTTTGTAGTTTTAGTAGATATGGAGTTTTCACCATGTTGTCCAAGCAGGTCTAGAACTCCTGGCCTCAAGTGATCTGCCTGCCTCAGCCTCCCAAAGTGCTGGGATTACAGGTGTGTGCCATCAAGCCCAGCTAATGTTTGTATTTTTAGTAGAGACGGGGTTTTGCCATGTTGGCCAGGCTGGTCTCAAACTCCTGACCTCAGGTGATCTGCCCGCCTTTTTACCCCAAAGTGCTGGGATTACAGGCATGAGCCACTGCACCTGGCCCTAAGCTCTATTTTTCTATTTTTTTTTTAAATGTGAATCTTTCAAAGTCAATACATTAATTTCTAAATATATAAAAGTGAATAAAATGCTATGAGCTTATTTGGTTGGTTCCTTGGCAAACCTAGAAGACCTTCTACATCCAAACTAGTACTGTGACTTTCCAAGAGGCCCCCTTAGAGGGGAATCATTGCACCAGGGACAGTGTCCTTAACTTTTCTAGAACTTTTCATTGGAAAAAAGAGAAACCGCCGGGCGCAATGGCTCATACCTGTAATCCTACCCCTTTGGGAGGCCGAGGTGGGTGGATCACGAGGTCAAGAGATCGAGACCATCCTGGTCAACATGGTGAAACCCTGTCTCTACTAAAAATACAAAAATTAGCTGGGCATGGTGGTGCGTGCCTGTAATCCGAGCTACTCAGGAGGCTGAGGCAGGAAAATTGCCTGAACCCAGGAGGCGGAGGTTGCGGTGAGCCGAGATCGCGCCATTGTACTCCAGCCTGGGTAACAAGAGCGAAACTCCGTCTCAAAAAAAAAAAAAAAAAAAAAAAGAAAGAAAGAAACCTCCATAGCGTATAGCACATTCTTTTGAATCTTCCCGGAGTCGGGGAGGGAAAGGGCTTTGTTTCTTGAAGGCAGATTTGATTTTTGGAAACAGCTAAAAGCTACTTGGCAGCAAGTGTAGTGAATGAGGTGGGTGATCAAACTGAATAATATTATTTTTGGTTCCAAACAAGGTGTGACTATAAAGAAATGAGGCTGATTTTGTTGTATGGCACATAAACTGGCTCAACAGCAATTCCAATAGAGGACTTCCAAAAATGCTGTGGTCTTGGCAAGAAAAAAATATTTCTCCACCCCAGTACACACACACACACACACACACACACACACACACACACACACACGTACGTGTATGGCATCTGGCTCAATCTATAGACAAGGAAAATCAAAAGCCCTTGGAATGTGTTTTAAAAACCAATTGTGCAAGTATGGGATGGAAGAGATCTGGCTGGGCAGCCATTCTTGCAAAAAGCTGTGAGGGTTGCAGTTAGCCAGAACATGGAATTATCACACACTAACGAGTGTGATGTGGCTGCTCAGCAGGCATCTGCATCCTAGGGCTGCTCTGGCAGAGGTCCCAGGCCTCTGTGGGAACAGAGACACCCATTGGCTACTCTGTTCAGGCTCTCCCTGCCATGGGCTCAGCTACAGGCCTGGCAGGATAAGAGGACCACTGGCCCACTGGAGCCCGGCTCATGAAGGAGCTTGTCAACACGTTTGATGTGTTTGGAAAAGCAGGCAACCCAGAGGAGGCAAGTGTCAGTGACTGAAAGTTATTGCGAAAAGGGAGCTGTGTGAAGACTAGTGCCATCTTAGTCTCTTTTTTGTTTGCATAAATGTAAGGGGTACAAGTGCAGTGTTGATTCACGGATGTATCGTGTGGTGAAGTCTGGGTTTTCAGTGTAACCATCACCCAAATAGTATACATTGTACCTTAAATAATTTCTCACCCCTTACTCCCTCCCATCCTTTTGCATCTCCAGTGTGTATTATTCCACTCTCTATGTTCACGTATACTTGTTATTTAGCTCCCACTTATAAGTGAGGACAGGCAGTATTTAACTTACTATTTCGGAGTTGTTTTACTTAAAGAATGGCCTCCAGTTCCATCAGTGTTGCTAAAAATATGGAATGCTTCACAAATTTGCATGTCACTCATGTGCAGGGGCCATACTAATCTCTGTAACATTCGATTTTAGTATATATGCTGTCCAAGTGAGCATGGCCATCTGAATCTCAGGATGCTCTTTATGGAAGAGCCAGAACCACAGGAGGAAATAATAGGAAGGCAGCTTTAGGCTCACCCTAATAAAGACTGATTCATATTATAGAATTGTATGTTCAATACAATTTCATGTGTGTGAATATACACATACAGAGGGAGGTAAAAGACTTGAAAAATATAAATATTTAACAGTGCATTTCTATGTGGTATGGAATTATGGGGCAAACATTTTCTAAACTTTACATAATGATGTGTTGTTAGCTTTTTTATTATCTGTATTTCTTTTGTGATAATGCTTTTCCTTGCCGGGTGCGGTGGCTCACGCCTATAATCCCAGCACTTTGGGAGGCCAAGATGGGTGGATCACGAGGTCAAGAGATCGAGACCATCCTGGTTCAACATGGTGAAACCCTGTCTCTACTAAAAATACAAAAATTAGCTGGGCATGGTGGCGCACGCCTGTAGTCCCAGCTACTCGGGAGGCTGAGGCAGGAGAATTGCCTGAACTCAGGAGGCGGAGGTTGCGGTGAGCCGAGATCGCGCCATTGCACTCCAGCCTGGGTAACAAAGAGTGAAACTCCGTCTCAAAAATAAAATAAAATAATAATAATAATAATAATAATAATAATAATGCTTTTCCTTTAAGGGATGGATTTGCTAAAAATTCGAGGTATCTAACAACCAAACAGGCTACTTTGTGACCTAGTGAGAGCCCTCCCTTAGGAGGTAATCAAGCAAATATTGTGGGATGAATTATCAGGTACCTTCTAGTCTAGGAACTCAGTATCTGTTATTTTAGGAATTAACCTTATTTAAGTACCAGAGTTGAGTTAGTGGAAGTTCACACATGCATCCGATGAGGAAGAGACCTTCCAACACAATAGGGCAACTTCCCAGCTCCCAGGCTCTTCTAAGAAAAAATACTCATCTTAACATAATTCAAGTCTAGAAACTTTAAATCAAAGGCTAGAATGAGGCCAAGTGCAGTGGCTCACACCAGTAATCCCAGCACTTTGAAAGGCCAAGGTGGGTGGATCATTTGAGGTCAGGAGTTCGAGACCAGCCTAGGCAACATGGTAAAATCCTTCTTTACAAAAAATAGAAAAATTAGCCAGGCATGGTCATGCATGCCTGTAGTCCCAGCTACTCGGGAGGCTAAGGCATGAGAGTCGTTGGAACCTAGGAGATGGAGGCTGCAGTGAACCAAGATTGTGCCACTTTACTGCAGCCTGGGTGACTGAGGGAGGCTCTGTCTAAAAAATAAATAAATAAATAAAAGGGTAGAATAGAGCCGGGCGCAGTGGCTCACGCCTGTAATCCCAGCACTCTGGGAGGCTGAGGTGGGCGGACCACAAGGTTAGGAGCTCAAGACCATCCTGGCCAACATGGTGAAACCCCGTCTCTATTAAAAAGAAAAATAAATAAATACAAATAAAAGAGTAGAATCAACACGTCAAAGATGAAAAGCCACTAACTAGGTATGAATCTCAATTCTGAACTAGAGCAATTAAAAAATACATAGAGGGCTAGGAAAAGGCAGGGACAAAAAGCTAAAAGAGACAGTCTTTGATACATAGTGCCAAGAGGATATGGTAGCTTTTCCATGTTTTATACCTGTGTGTGGTTACCCAGTTTAATCTCATCCACGTAGCTGAAGCCAGCTGGTCATGGACGTGACAGGGGAGTTGTCTTCCTGTCCTGCTCGCTCAGGCTGCATGGCCCATAGCTGCAGACAGAGTACCAGGACAGCAGAAACACTGGCTGCCTGAGGTCATGTTCCAGAGCCTGAAGCATGTCAAATACGACCTTATGCTGGAAAAGTTCTGCGAGGCCTTGGAGGGACAGCACATTCATGCCACCAGCTGGGCAGAGGGACCAGCATTTACTGCCTTTTGGGTCCAATGGTGCCACACAATCTGAGTAACAAAGAGGTTAGCAATTGTGTCCTCATCCTCCATTTGGCAATAGGGAAACAGGTCTAGGGATAGGAAGCGGATGAGAAGGGTGTGCGAAATCCGACAATCTCCTTCCCCTCCCAGAGAGGAGAAATGGACTTTGAGACAGTCCTCTCCTGCTTGCAGGAGCAAAGCCTGGTCTCTGAACCACAAATTATTTTTTGCACATCAAATAACATTTCCATGGAATGACAGGGACAGCTATTAGATGATAACTGGACTTTAAATCCTTTTTCTGGGCTGGTGTTGCTATATTAGACTCTGAATCCAAGCAGCAAACCTTTGCAATATGTAGGTTTCATAAACCAAATCCCAAAGGCTCTTACAAACTCTATTCAAATACACGAAGAATGATGGTTTAAAAACAAAGACAACTGGCTTCTTTCCCCTTCAAGTCTTACCCACCGTTACAAATCACTGAGATCATATTAACACATAGATTTTAGTCTTTATCTTCGCTAAAACCAACCGAAGGAAATGCTAAACCAAACATTTCCAATTTGCGTTTGTGAGTGTTTCTGCAAAGGACAAAGATGGATATTAGAAAATTGTGCTCTGCAGGAGACTGACAGAAGTGTGTTGGTGACAGCAGGAGAGGGGGCACAATAAGTTGTGAGAAATTACACCTTCTGCTTCCCGCATGGTGACCTCCTGCCATGGGACCGAAATTGGAGAGCCTGGCTGGGACCACCTCATAGAATCAAAGGGGACTTCCCTGTCCATTCCTTGACCTTTGCTCACACCCCTTCCATGCATGTCACCCTCTCTTTCTCATATGTATCAAGTGGGAGTTGAGTTTTCACCCTTTAGAAAGAATCGACAATTTCTCTATTGACCTGACCTGGCAACAGGGCAATGTGCTAAGCATTATACACAATACAAAAATGGAGGGTGGTTATTCCTGGGATCCCTCAGCCACAGAATGTCTGAGTATCGACGTAAGTAAAAGCCACTATTATTACAATGTTGTATGTATAAAAAACATTTTTTTTTTTTTTTTTTGAGACAGAGGAGTCTTGTTCTGTCATCCAGTCTGGAGTGCAATGGCATGATCTCGGCTCACTGCAACCTCCGCCTCCCAGGTTCAAGCAAGTCTCCTGCCTCAGCCTCCTGAGTATCTGGGATTACAGGTTGGTGCCTGCCACGATGCCTGGCTAGTTTTTGTATTTTTAGTAGAGACAGGGTTTCGCCATGTTGGCCAGGCTGCTCTGAAATTCCTGACTTCAAATGATCTTCCCACCTTAACCTCCCAAAGCACTGGGATTACAGGCGTGAACCACCACATCCAGCAAAAAACAGATTTTGAGTTTTAATACTGGGCCACGGTTGATGAAAAGCCAGTGTTGTAATTAGTACTGGTGTCAGACTTTCAGTTCTGTGAGAGCAGGGCTCAGTTCTGTTTTGTTGTCCACTGTCTCCAGCATCTGGTACGGTACCTGAAACGCAGCAGGTACATAAAACCTACTCGTTGAATAAGTGAATGTTGAAGGAGCTCACTTGAGGGCAAGAGTGAGAGTTGTTTTCTGTAAGTCATGGGTTTGCTGATGATAACTTCTGCAACCTGACCCAGAGCAATGGCTGCCCATGCCATTCGGCAGCCCCTGTGGAGAGAGGCAACTCAGCAAGTCTGAGACAGCAGCAAAGAAGCTGGGGAGTGATTTCTTGGCATTGTTTGGGCTCACCTATCTTGAGTTGGGAGAAGGGAAAAGAAAAATGGAGCTACTGTACCTGATTTACACAGAGGATTCCTATTTGGCAAAGCATTTTTAGCAAAGTAAAAGTCGTAAAGAGAGACTGGACCAGATAACTCTTTTGAGATACCTTTGGTTTCATAGACAAGATACTCCAACCCAGGGTTTGGAAATGGAGATTGTGGATTGGGAGGGAGTGGCTCTAATTGGTGCCTGGAGTCAGAATTGATTTCCACCCAGAAGAAAGACAGAGAGGTGGGTTTCAAGGATCCTGTTGGAGCCTGATGAGAATATATTGGATAGATAGTTTAGTGAGAAAGAAAAAAGGCATTGCACAGTCACCATAGATGATGGTTTGCAAAAAAGAGCCAATACGTTTTTATTTGAGCAATTTATTTATTTTTTTTTTTCCAAAGAAATCCATGCAAAAAGAAAGAAAGGAAAGGAGAGAGTGAGACTGAAAGACATGGTAACCACGTTCTAACAGCCAAACATAGGAAAATAATTTGGCACAACTTGATGGGTTTTTTTTTTTTCTTTGCAAAAGGACAATCTATATACTACCACTAAAATTTACCCTCCTCCAAAACATACCATCTGATTTTCAAAAACATAACACAAGGTTAGTCCTCTACTTAATGGCTGGAGGAGGCATACAGGATAAAAAAATAGAAAAAAAATAATGTGGTTCCCTTTATCGAGGAAGACCACAGGGTGCTGTAAGGCAGCACATCGCTGGGCACCAGGCAGTCAGTGCACCAGGAAGAAGAAGCACACCACCGAGATGGCCATGCTGGTGAGAAGCTTCAGTGGGTAATGAGCATTCCCGAGGTTGTGAGAGGTGCTTATCTCGTTGTCCTTCGGAATCACCTGCTGCTTGCTTCCAGGAGCATCATCCACATCCAGATCATAGGCCAGTTCTGTCAATCACAAGAGAAGGATTTGAAATGCAAGTCTACCCATAGCCTCAGTATAACACTACCCACAGCTCGAGCATGTGTCTAGACTGCTGGAAAGCCTCAGCTTTGATTCCCCTTTTTATGGGAGAGGAAAAGGCCACTGTGAGATGGGAAAAAGAAGGATGTGTGTGTCGGGGAGGGGAGGGGAGGCAGTGGAAGGAGATAGCCAGAAGTGCTCCTTCCAGAGATCACAGCAAGGGGGAGTGGGGAGCGAACAGGCTTCACCCCACTCCTCCTTGGCTGCACCCACACTGCAGGGTGCACACTGGCCCTTTGCAACATCTCCTCCCAGGCAAGGTTTTGCTTGAAGGGCATTTTCACCAGATCTTATGGGTATCAAAACATAAGATGCCATGTGGTTGACTATACCATGTGGGTGTGTTCTTGTGTGTATGTGTGCTGGTGGGGAAGGGGTGCTGGGGGTTCCCAGTGTACCTTTCTTAGGCCCTGAACCTTATACACATTTCCTTATTCTGGGAGCTTTCCTTTAATTAGGGTGGAGGATAGGTAGTTTGCTGTTGAAAGTTGTTTTTTTTTTTTGTTTGTTTGTTTTTTTTGAGACGGAGTTTCGCTCTTGTTACCCAGGCTGGAGTGCAATGGCGCGATCTCGGCTCACCGCAACCTCCGCCTCCTGGGTTCAGGCAATTCTCCTGCCTCAGCCTCCTGAGTAGCTGGGATTACAGGCACAGGCCACCATGCCCAGCTAATTTTTGTATTTTTAGTAGAGACGGGGTTTCACTATGTTGACCAGAATGGTCTCGATCTCTTGACCTCGTGATCCACCCGCCTCGGCCTCCCAAAGTGCTGGGATTACAGGCTTGAGCCACCGCGCCCGGCCGAAAGTTGTTTTATTTTTCCAAATAATTATCCTTTTATCTCTAAGGTCTTTTCATCCCCTCCTAGAAAAAATACTTGCAAAAAAGCAAAATTGATCGAAGCATAGACTTAAACTGACACCAAGTGAGTGGGGAGTAAGGAGAGGCTAATGGCCAAGGGCCTTTCGTTCTTTGACCGCCTACCTTTTATGATACATGTTCATGATTCTGAAAAGAAATCAGGATGTTATTTAGCTTGCCCTAAAGCAAAGGTGACCACAGAAGGTAAAGAAAGACAGTGGTTTATCAGGGAATTAAAGATGGCTGGCCCTGGCCCAGGGCTCAATGTCTTTCAGATTTGCTTTTGGAGATTTAGAGATCAAATCTACTCCCTTGGCTTTTCTAGACTCCGTTGCCAATGTTGCTATTTCAATATATTGTGATGGTGATATGATGTGAGCAATTTCACCAGCCAACTATCTGGTAGCCAAGGGAGCTGGAAAGGTCCTTTGGGACACTGAGATGCCCAGCAACAAGCACAGAGGAAATGACTGGGATTCTACAAAGGGAAGGAAGGAAGAGGAAGGAAGAGCTTCTTTTACGGGGGGATGAAACACTCAGTAAGTCACAGGAAGAAAGTGTGGGGACTCAGCTGGTCCAGCACAGAGCAGGGCTCAGGACCAGCGCTCTGCTAAGGCTGGCACTGGTTAGGGCAGGCAGCAAGGTCAAAGTGATCAAAGCCAGGGAGTCTAATTTCATAGACTGTTATACCAATTTCCAAAAGGTCTATTGCAATCTACACTGCCACCAGCAATGATGAGCGAACCAATTTTATGGCACCTCCATCAAAAAAAGATATTTGTGTTAATGTAAGGTGACATCTTAACATTTCTTTAATTTGCACAGATTTGATTACTAGTGCAGATAAACTTTTCCTATGTTTTACTTTACTAATTATATTTCTCAATGCATAGTAGTTTTTACCTTTTGCCTTTTTTATATAGTGGGTTATTGATATTTTTCCCATTCATTTTAATAATATATATTTTGTTGAACTTTTGTCTACAATCTTTATACAACTATTTTCTCCATTTTGTTTTTAATATAACCATTTTCATGGCTGTAGAAAGAAATGATGCCTTAACTTTTAAGATATATGAATCTTGGGTCAGGTGCAGCAGCTCACACCTGTAATTCCAGCACTTTGGGAGGCTGAGGCAGGTGGATCGCCTGAGGTCGGGAGTTTGAGAGCAGCCTGACTAGCATGGTGAAACCCTATCTCTACTAAAAAAAAAAAAAAAAAAAAAAAAAAAAAAAAAAAAATTAGCTGGGTGTGGTGGCAGGCACCTGTAATCCCAGCTACTCGGGAAGCTGAGGCAGGAGAATCACTTGAACCCGGGAGGCAGAGGTTGTGGTGAGCTGAGATTGTGCCATTGCACTCCAGCCTGGGCAGCAGAGTGAGACTCTGTCTCAAAAAAAAAAAAAAAGATATATGAATCTGGTTACATTTTACTCCTTTAAAAGCACAGAGTTTTTCTTCCTCAGTGCTCATAATAATTCAAATCAAATTTTCCAGGAAACCCTCTTACCCAGGGAAAAGGAATTGAGCAGACTATAATCTATATTCCCTCCCTTCCAAAATAAATACCTATAAACAAAAAAAAAAATAAAAAGAGAAAAAGAACAAAGAGCAATGCTCTACTTGGAAATCAGACCTCTTTCTTTGAAAGGTGAACTATGCAGGGTGCATAGAGAAGGCCGAGGTCAGCTGTCAGTCGGCAAGGATAGCACAGGCTTAGGTCACGATCGGGTTTCACCAAAGTGGAGAGCACATATGGCTAGATCTGTTGAAAGCCCAGCCTTGGTTCTCACAGCAACTTCTCAAGTTAAATGAAGAGGAGTATTTTTAGGGTTGACCTGAATGAGAGCACTCTCAGCATTGCTTTCAGATTCCTTTTCTGGAGGGTGCCCCCTTGCCCAACATAAAGATGAAACAATATCTATTAATGTCACTGCTCAGCTCCTACACTGTTTCTTTCTTCAGATCATCTGCTAACTTTCAACAGTTTTGTTTAGTGTAGCAGTTATGGCAAACCCAGAAGTTTTGTTTGTTAAATCCAGTTGTTTCAAATCTTTTTTTTTTTTTTTTTTTTTTTTTTTTTTTTTTTTTTGCCAGTTAAGACCTCTTCTGATTTTGTTTGTTTTTTTGTATTGTTTTGTTTTGTTTTTGAGACAGGTTCTTTCTGTGTCACACAGGCTGCAGTACAGTGGTGTGATCACGGCTCAATGCAGCCTTGATTTCCTGGGCTCAAGCAATGCTCCCACATCAGCCTCCCAAGCAGCTGGGGCTACAGGCATGTGAAACCCTGCCTGGTTATTATTTTTATTTTTGTTTTTATTTTTATTTTCTAGAGACGGGGTTTTGCGATGTTGCCCAGGATAGTCTCAAACTGCTGAGCTCAAGCGATCTGCCCACCTCAGCCTCCCAAAATGCTGGAATTACAGGCGTGAGCCACTGTGCCTGGCCTTCTTTTGTTATTTCTATCACTTGGGCCCTGTATTTTGAAATGATAGTAATGACCCCCAATTACTGAGTCCTCACTGTAGTCCAGGCACTGTGTTAAACTATTTCTGTACATTATTTCATTTAAGTTAACCATTTTAACCATGTTATAATGTAGGTACTATAATTCCCATTTTACTGGAAAGGAAACTCAAACTCAGATTAAGTATTTTGCCCATATTCACACAGCTGGTAAGGGGTAGAAGAGCTATTTGAGTGCAGGTCTGACTCTAAACCTCATACGAAGCTAGACTGCCTCTTGACAAATTCTGTATACCAAATAAACTACATTGAATAAGTAGTAATGGATTCTTTCTTGAAAACAAATAAACTACATTAGTGAAATACGCAGTGCCAAAGAGAACTTCCAACAAGCATGAGAGCAAAGTCACTGTTTCCACATAAAATTGACCACATACTTGATTAAGTAGTGTTGCTAAACTTTTTTGAAATCCTGAAAAGCACTCTGGATTTGGGTATGGGAATTATCCTATCAGTTCTATTTCCCTGAAGAAATAAACAATGATGGCCAAGGCCATTGGATACCCCAACCACAAAGCTGGGCCAAGTCTTCTACCTCCAAAAGACCCCCAGGAATATTCAGAATGCTATCTTCCTGTGTTTCCTAAGCTATGGCTGCAGGTTTCCTGAGGCTCTTCATTCAGCAGCAGCAAAAGTTTATCACCCAATTCCATAGCCAGGCACCTGTGGCTTATAATTGATGAGAATCCCAGCAAAGTCACTCTACGCTTGGGTCACCATCATGAAGATTAGAGGTAAAGGGAATAGCTTAGTACAACAAGAAAGTATTATGGAGACAGAGGAAATGGGATTTTTGGTCAAAGATAAATACAGAACATTTCTGGATAGGGGAAATGTAATCCAATTTAATTCAACAAACAAAACTAGCCTATGATGTCTCAAGCATCACAGTAGAAGTTTAGAGAAGGACTTAACATCTGCCTTCACGAACCCCTTCACTGACAAGGGAAATTGATCAAGAGGCAATCCAATTAGCTACATGGCAGAAAGTAGAAAGGACTCAGCTGAAGGCACAAGCAAACACCTCAGGGGTAGAAGAGAAAGAGATAAAAATTCCAAATAGAAAGATCTGGGAAGATGTCTGAAAACAATTGGGATATCCCACTATTGGGTATCTACTCAAAGGAAAAGAAGTCATTCTATGAAAAAGATACATGAACACGCATGGTTATAGCAGCACAATGCACAATTGCAAAGATACGGATCTAGCCTAAGTGCCCATCAACCAACAAGTGAATAATGAAAATGTGGTATATGTATACCATGTAATACTACTCAGCCATAAAAAGGAATGAAATGGTGTCTTTTGCAGTAACTTGGATGGAGCCAGAGGATATTATTCTAAGTGAAGTGACTCAGGAATGGAAAACCAAGTATCATATGTTTTCACTTATAAGTGGGAGCTAAGCTATGAGGACACAAAGGCATAAGAATGGTATAATAGACACTGGAGACTCAGGGGAGAGGGCGGGAGTGAGGTGAGGGATAAAACACTACATATTGGGTACAGTATACACTGCCCAGGTGATGGGTGCACTAAA